ATATCGGAAATAAGTTGTTCTGGACGACATGAACAAGATCTCTCCAAAACACAACACTATGCATGTTTTCTCCCATTGTAACAAGAGAGCACGTTTGCTAGTTCATTTTAAACATCCAGCCTCAACACATAAAAAGTACTTCATACATACAGCCCAAAAACATCAATCAGAGAAGCTGCAAACCATTATTCTAGGTTAATTTGTATGTAAAACTCTAAGCATGTCCGTGTCGCATGTAAAGTACTTTGCACATCGTTGAGTATGATTAAAGTTATTTCATCACACAAAAAGAACCAAAACAAAAGAAAAGAACAGGGACGTAACTCCGTTACGAGGCTAAAGTTTTGGATGTACATATATTGAACATCAGAGCAGGATTGACACGACAGCCTAACTAGTTCCAACCTGCTCTGTTCCATGGATACCGTACATAATATATACATATCCAATCCATCACTCACTGGTCCAAAACATTATTTCAAAGTGCAAGCATTTCTGTAAAGGAAATAAAGGGGTGCAGAGCAAATAAAATAATAAACCTTTGCGATGGAGACCAGGAATACAAATTGTTAGGGTATATGCCAAACCGTCGTGCATCTGAAGCCTGCTGGTTCCTGATTCTTTCATCTGGGGACACGAACAAACGAGCCGCTTCTTCTCGGCATATCTGAACCTGCATAGCTTTTCAATTCGTATCTTCAAGTACACACATTATTGTATGCGTGCACCATCCATAGAGCATATCGTCACAGACCCTGAATTTGTTTGGACCATTCACCTTATATCTAGAGTGCAAGTACGTGTAAGTGAGTGTTCCTTTCCTGGCTGTCTCCAGGGCCAACAACAACAACAATAACAAAAGCATTTAAGTCCCAAGCAAGTTGGAGTAGGCTAGAGTTGAAACCCAGCAGAAGCAATCAAGGTTCATGCACGTGAATAGCTGTTTTCCAAGCACTCCTATCTAAGGCTAAGTCTTTGGGTATATTCCATCATTTCAAGTCTCCTTTTATTGCCTCTACCCAAGTCAACATCGGTCTTCCTCTGCCTCTCTTCACGTTACTATCCTGACCTAGGATTCCACTACGCACCGGTGCCTCTGGAGGTCTCCGTTGAACATGTCCAAACCATCTCAACCGGTGTTGGACAAGCTTTTCTTCAATTGGTGCTACCCCTAATATATCACGTATATCATCGTTCCGAACTCGATCCCTTCTTGTATGACCGCAAATCCAATGCAACATACGTATTTCCGCGACACTTATCTGTTGAACATTTTATCTTTTCGTAGGCCAATATTCTACACCATACAACATAGCAGGTCTAATCGCCGTTCTATAAAACTTGCCTTTTAGCTTCTGTGGTACCCTTTTGTCACATAGGACACCAGATGCTTGGCGCCACTTTATCCACCCTGCTTTGATTCTATGGCTAACATCTTCATCAATATCCCCGTCTCTCTATAGCATTGATCCTAAATATCGAAATGTATCCTTCCTAGGCACTACTTGACATTCCAAACTAATATCTTCCTCCTCCCGAGTAGTAGTGCCGAAGTCACATATCATATACTTAGTTTTAGTTCTACTGAATCTAAAACCTTTAGACTCCAAAGTCTCCCGCCATAACTCCAGTTTCTGATTCACTCCTATCCGACTTTTATCAACTAGCACTACATCGTCCACGAAAAGCATACACCAAGGGATGTCCCCTTGTATGTTCCTTGCGACCTCATCCATCACTAAGGCAAACAGATAAGGGCTCAAAGCTGACCCTTGATGTAGTCATATCCTAATCGGAAAGTCATCCGTGCCTCCATCACTTGTTCGAACACTAGTCACAACATTGTTGTACATGTCCTTAATGAGCCCGACGTACTTCGTTGGGACCTTATGTTTGTCCAAAGCCCACCACATAACATTCCTTGGTATTTTATCATAAGCCTTCTCCAAGTCAATAAAAACTATGTGTATGTCCTTCTTCTTCTCCCTATACCGCTCCATAACTTGTCTTATTAAGAAAATGGCTTTCATGGTTGACCTTCCGGGCATGAAACCAAATTGGTTTATAGAGACCCGTGTTATTGCTCTCAAGCGATGCTCGATAACTCTCTCCCATAGCTTCATAGTATGGCTCATCAACTTAATTTCCCGGTAATTAGTACAACTTTGAATATCTCCTTTATTTTTGTAGATCGGTATCAATATACTTCTCCTCCACTCGTCAGTCATCTTGTTCAATCGAAAAATATGGTTAAGCAACTTGGTTAGCCATACTATAGCTATGTCCCCAAGGCATATCCACACCTCGATTGAGATACCATCCGGTCCCATCGCCTTACCTCCTTTCATCCTTTTCAACGACTCTCTGACCTCAGATTCTTGGATTCTCCGCACAAAGCGCCTATTGGTGTCATCAAAAGAGTCATCCAACTAAAAGGTTGTGTCCGTATTCTCACCATTGAACAATTTGTCAAAATACTCTTGCCATCAATGTCGGATCTCATCCTCCTTCACCAAGAAATGCTCCCTATCATCCTTAATGCACTTAACTTGATTGAAGTCCCTTGTCTTTTTCTCACGAACCCTAGCCATCCTATAAATGTCATTCTCTCCTTCCTTCGTACTCAAATGTTGGGAGAGATCCTCGTACGCTCTACCCTTTGCCACACTTATAGCTCGTTTTGCAGTCTTCTTTGTCACCTTGTACTTCTCTATGTTGTACACACTCCTGTCATGGTACAAGCGTCTATAGCATTATTTCTTCTCCTTAATAGCCCTTTGGACTTTCTCGTTCCACCACCAAGTATCTTTAACCTGGTCTCCACTTCCTTTGGTTACTCCACACACCTCTGAGACCACCTTCCGAATGTTGGTTGCCATCTTCTCCCACATGTTGTTTATGTCCTCTTCTATCTTCCAAGAGCCCTCTTTGATAACCCTTTTCCTGAATACATCTGACGTCTCCCCTTTCAGTTTCCACCACTTTGTTCTTTCAATCTTAGCTTGTTTATCCTTACGGGCACGCACCTGAAAACGAAAGTCTGCCACCAAAAGCTTATGTTGAGAAACAACACACTCCCCTAGTATCACCTTGCAACCTAAGCATGCTCGTTTGTACTTTCTTCTTGCGAGGACAAAGTCAATCTGGCTAGAGTGTTGTCCGCTACTGAAGGTCACTAGATGAGATTCTCTCTTTCTAAAGAAAGTGTTGGCTATCGTCAGGTCAAAAGCTACCGCGAAGTCCAGAACTTCCTCCCCCTCCTGATTCCTACTACCATACCCAAAATCTCCATGAACTGCCTCGAAACCTACGCTTGTAGTACCTACATGCCCCATTAAGATCTCCTCCTATAAAAAGCTTCTCACTACTAGGTACAGCTCTAATCAGGCTATCTAAGTCTTCCCAGAACTGTCTCTTAGCACTCTTGTCAAGGCCTACTTGGGGGCATACGCACTAATTACGTTCAAAACCATATCACCAATGACAAGCTTGACTAAAATAATCCTATCTCCTTGCCTTCTCACTCCCACCACAGTATTCTTGAGGCTCTTATCAATCAAAACTCCTACTCTATTTCTATTCGCAACTGTCCCTATGTACCAAAGCTTGAAACCTGTATTGTCCACCTACTTCGCCTTCTGATCCTTCCATTTAGTCTCTTGAACGCATAATATATTTACACGCTTTCTAGTCGCGGTATCAACTAATTCTCTTAACTTACCTGTAAGCGACCCTACATTCCAACTAACTAAACGGATCATAATTGGTTCGACTCAGATGCGAAGACCCTTGCTCATTTTTCACTACACCCGGGCGCCAATGTAGCGCACCACTAAGGATGCGACGACCCGATCCTTGCTCACTTGACACCGTGTCCAGATCGCGACACAGCGCGTCATGGGGGTGACGACCCGGCCCTTGCCCATTTAACTCCATACCCGGGTTCCGATATGACGCGTCGCTAAGAGGGTTACGCCCCAACGGGTTTCTTTCAGGTTTCATCTCCATTAGAATGGCTAGATTTAACGTTGGCTCGCCTCGCCTATCACAACCCTCCTCCTTTACTAGGGCTTGGGACCTACTCTGTTGAGACAACATAGACGGAATTAGCTCTCTCAGGGCCAGTGCACAATTTTCTTAAACATTGCTATGTGAGGTTTCTATCAGAATCATACAAGGTACCAGCAGGGTATGAAAAGAAACAGCGAAAAAAATGCAATGTTGTTTTCTTCCTCTTTAAGTTTGCACTATCCAGATATATATATATATATATATATATATATATATATATATATATATATATATATATATATATATATATATATATGCACGTTTTAAGGTAATGTTAGTGTCCAACCCCATTGGTGACAGGAACTGGACACCAGGCAGGCAGCCATGATGCAATGTACACGCATCTCATTTGCAGCCACATACTGTCTTCCAGTTGCATGCCATGATATCAACAAATCATCCTTCCTCCGACTAATTCACCGCTCCCGGAAAGAGAACTGATCAGTAGATCTTTTTCCTGGTAGGTGATGCACAGGGGCCTTGTGGGGCAATGCTACCTTGTTTCACCGTGACCAAACTCCTGTTGTCACATGGACAGCACTATGAGAAGGCTACGGCCATTAAGCCAAGTGGGTCTGCCAGGAATGGTGGCCTGTGGTCACACCAAAGGGGCCTCAAATATGGCTAGTTGTCTCATGATCTTTTGCAATCCCTTGGATGTATGATTGCTTGTTTCAAGCTAGAAACAGTAATATATGTAGCAACTTCACACGGTGCAAATAATTTTGAGCGACTAATGAAAGGACTTGTTAAGAGAAGCCGGTTATGAAGGGCAGTCTTTGTCTGTCTGACTACAATTTAAAAGTCTCTTGTCCTTTAGCCTATCTGAAGGCTTCATATTGGCCATGATATGCACACAAATACAATCAGAGAATCTCCATTGCTCCACCAATTGCTTAAGATATGGTCCAATGCTAGCAATGATCACCCTAGTCTCTAGGGTCCAAAGCAATGGGAGATAACAAGAGCAGATTTCCCAGAACAAAAGAATTGATTTCATCTCATTTTCAGTACTTCACTGTAACAGAAGTGGTAAAAGGTAAATAGACCTCTTACCCCTTGTTAGTAGCCTTTTGTTTTGACCTAGCTCTTTTTTTAGAACTTAACCTAACTGTAGCAGAAGGCTTGGTGTCCTCACTGTAGTATGTCGTATGACAAGCATCGGTTATGTAGCGCACATGGTCATCTTCCTTTGGTATCGTTTTCAGCAACTTCTTAGCTGCCTTACGTCCCCCGGATGAAAGAAAAGCTTGATACATCCTGAAGAGGCATAAATGTAATAAATCACATAAAGTGAAATCTTACATGGCTCCACGATAAAAATCAATCCATAAATGTACCATTACGCAGAAAATGCTTTAATAATTCTTGGCTTATGTAAAAGAATTCAACCTCAAGGAAGTCAGCACATTGTGTGGAAGACCAGCAGATTCATATTCTGACCAGATCTGTTGGGCACGTTGCAAATTCTTTGCTTTTACACATGCGCTGAGAAGAAAATCAAGGCTTGTCCGAGAAACATTAAGTCCAAGCTCTTTGACAGCATCAAGAAACACCATTCCAAGATCCAAATTTGTGATCTCCATGTCCCATATTTGGTAAAAAACCTTAAAAAAACGTTCAATCAAGTAAGCGAAGCAACAATTATAAACCAAAACAAGGGAAATATGTTTCGGAACGTTTAATACACCCTTTAGGAAAATAATTCAGAGGGATCTGCATTACCAACAAACACACTAGCACAATTAGATTGTTCACTAAAACATAAAAAATGAGTATCACTCATAGTGTCAACGCAATTCAAATGGAATCACTTCTCCAAACTAACAGAACAATAAACAAGAGATATCACATGAAACATTTCCAGTCATGAAATGCTCACCAAACAAAAAAAGGGTAAAAAACTGCAGCATATTCCATTGTAAACAAACATATACCAAACAGAATGGGGAACACAGAAGGGAATGTACTTTCAACACAATGAAAATAAAATGATGAGCAATTCGAAAAGTACAGAACATAGTTCAATACTGATCAATTAACAACATGAGATCTTCTGTTGATCTCAATATCTATTCAGTGTGAATTAGGCAAAAGAAGATACAGATCAATGCAAAGAAGTGAATTATTGCGTAGCAAATTTGTTTATGGATATCCTCGATCATTATATACTACTCAATAACTCTGCAACAAACTTAAGGTACAAATTGCACACTTCCACGACATCAGGTGTATGTGTTAAGATAAAGTATGCAGGTGATTTTGATCAAACTACAGAAATACGAAGGCCATTAGGTATCCTGATGCCCAACAAGATCAATCTCAAAAAAGAATACCTGATCAACAACCATATATGTACTCATTTCATCTTTCTCCTTGAGCTGCTTAAGTAGATCAATTGCAACACTGGCCAAAAAAGAAAAAAAGCAAATAAATAAACACACCGTGGTAAGTTTGAGGGTTTGACTAAATAGTGTAGAAAGGCAACTGCATAAACATTGACAATCATACTCAGTATAGTTGTGCTGAACACAGTATAAAAGTACTCTGCCACACCCCTCAAACCAGCTGTTTGAGTCATTCAGCCCATCCAGAAGTTGATGCATTCTATCCAGTTCACCTTCTGTTCGAATATGTTCCTGAAGAAGAAAATACAATTCTATAAGAAATGGAGACAGCAAATAATTCTAAACTACTATGCAGATTTTCTCATTCCAACGGGAAAGATGGTTCACGGATTTACTCACAATCAAGGTAATGGCAGCCTTTGGCTCTAGGGAGCCTCCGGATTCTTTTATCTCATCATGCAAGCGAAGTGCATCCAACACATGCCCATTTGATGCCAGTGCTCCTACAAGTGCGCTCTTGATGTCACTGAGGAACTTACGTGGTATTTCCTTATCCAGTAGAACCTAAGGAGGCAACGGTTTAGCATAGCCAATGTAACAAAGAATAGCATAGCCCTCATTCCACCTGAGGAAATGCGAGAGAACTGAAGCACAAAAGCAGCTGAATTTAAATAACATTCTCGTCAGTAAACACCATTTACCTGCTTGGCCATATCAAAATTACCAAGTCTTGCGTATGCAACAATGAGTGCCACATATATATGTCTGGTCATTGGAATTAAATCTTGCCGTAATTGGTCACGGTACTGTAAAAATTTCAATATTGAGCAGTTATCACATTGGAAAACAATAAATAGAAAGGAATTTACAAAAAGAGTTTGGCACAATTATTTCCAGTCAAACTACAATGGGGGTGCAGTTACAAACATCTCGTCTCGCCCGCATGAACCCGCCGCCACCCAAACTCCCCTCTGCCACCCTGGAGGTCCATGCTGCTGCAAGGACGACAGTGGTGAGGCATTTTCCTCCTTTCTCCTTCGTTTACCTCCTAGTTTTGGTGGCTGTCGTGCACATCCGGGCCGACAGCGGTGCTCTGCTGGAACCTCATTGTTATGAACTATATATGCCTAGAATATATGGGCCTTGACATACTTAACACTCATGACCTCACCCAGTGCAGCCATTGCCGGATCAGGCTCCCCAGTCCCCACGGTCCAGAACTCTATCGAGGGACCTGAGGCCGCGTGTCCCAGCGGTGGCTGCAGCCAGCAGGGTATACACGGCAGGACAGTGGTGTGGGTAGTGGCTGCACTGAGGCCACAGTAGCCAGTGACTGCTGCAACATGAGGCTGTGGAGGGGGCAGTTGTGTAACCTCGGCACTAGGAGGGTGGGTCCGTGGGTGTGCTTCAGGTGAAAGCCTTGCCCGGTGCTTTGTCGATACCAACAACGGCTGTGCCTTTGGGCTGATGAGGGCGTCGTTGAGGGGACTCCTTTTCCTCAGGCTTCTCCAGGTGAAAACCCTGTTCACTTTGTGGATGAGTGACGACGGCATGCTTGGTGTCGTTCCCTCCTTGGAAACGTCGTTCTTGGAGATCAGCCTTGGCTTGCAGCTGCAACTCTTTGGGTTCGACGAGGCCTCTACATTTGTGCTGCTGCCTCTCGCTTCACGATGACCATTTGGTGCTCATGGATTGGGTGCATCGTATGAAGTTCGAGCTGCTGCATCGTTGGGATGCAATGTATCTCACCAGCAACAAGTGGTTGCTACAAAAGGAGGGGGGGGTGACCTAGGACGGAGCTGTTCGCTGTTAGAAGTCAGAGCTGCTCTTTGCTTTGCATCAAGCTCGGCAACGATGACCATCGGCAGACTCCGTTGGTGTGATTCCTCTCAACCTGTCATGGCATTGACGAGGCCTACGCCTCCTTGGTGTTGTTTCTTGCTCTCGGCAGGCTGCTCACTTTCCTGGGTTGAGCCTGCTGCAGTGGAGTCAGAGCTGCTTCATTGGGGGCATAACGAAACCAGCAACGATGACTGGTAGTCCCTTTCTAGGTATGTTGTTGGTGCCAGTTGTGTGCAGGTGGCAGTGTCTTGATGGCTTTGGCTAAGGTCCGTCATGGGAAGTCGAAGCTATTTTGTCGCATGGTGGGCTCTGTTTGTGTGTTTATTGCTAAGTGCTAGCGGCCCCGCTGTTGTGTGGGTGTGCAAGTGTGTCATGTCTTTGTACTGAACTAACTTCTGTTCTTCTTAATTGAGCGGCAGAGCTCCTGCCTTCCGTTCAAAAAAAAAGAACTGCACTAGGAAACTATAGGTAATATTGTAATAATAGTGCAAGATGTGTTGTGCTGCAGGGAGACTTATCCAAGACCAAACAAACTTCACCAATCAAAATAAATTCTGATTAGCTGGGGATATGCTTAGGTGATATCAGCAGAAGGAATTGATCTGGTAGTACTTAGCTCAGATTTAGTCCTTTTTGCTAAGACAGTCCTCCAGAACCAAGACATGTGCTTTTCCACGAACCCCATATAAACAGACACAGTGACAATAAGGAATGGTCTGGTATGTGGCAAACCTTAGAAATGTTCTCTTCAGACTCACAATTCGCTATCAAATAACTGAATGTCTCAGAATCTGGTTTTAATCCAGCAATCTGCATTTGAGACATGACCATTTGTGCTCCATTGTAGTTTTTCTGCACAAATACAAGCTCGAGGTTATAGAGATGAGCCAAAAGAAGTTTAAAAGAGAGAGAAGTCATTTCAGAATATCATTCTTATAAATATTTGCAACTTGATGAGCTTTTTATATGGATCCACAAAATGCTGTGCATGACTACTGGAATCGTAATACACTTGTGTTTGGGTTACATTTGAGAAATAGACAGAACAAGCAAGGAAACTATGTGTCATTTCATAGGTCTATAATCTATATGCATTGTACTGACTAAGCATGGATAACATTGATATCAGCAGAACCGAACAAATATGCAGGCAATGGCCAATTACAGGGCTACTGTACATTCAAGACTATGAATGATACATTATTGTTTGCAACGTCAGGATAAACAAATGGAAGAAATGGGAACCCAAGAATTTACCTCCCTATAATATCCTAGCATTATAGCATTATACAGGCTTACGGTCGATATCTCCCCAGATTCTTCAGCATCTGTGAGTATATTGTAAGCACCTTCAAACTGGAAACAGGGATCAATAAACAACAGCTTCACATGAGGCCAAAAAATAACAGGTGTCCAGTATCATGACTTACATCTTTCAACTTTACAAATAAACTTATCATGCTTCTGAATGTTTCGCTTTTTAATTTCAAATTGTGGTGGCAGATCAGATCATATATGGGGCGGGCCTGCAAAATAGGAGCAAATATAGCTCATGATGATGAGATGTGTCATTTGATCACACAAAAGAATGTTTTTTGAAAAATGTAATTGCTACATGCCAGATTTCCAATAGTTGTTCATCCTGAACTTTTTCGACAGGGCACTTTTCATACCCTTGTTAATGTATAATTGTATATAGCTAGGATGTTGGGTGGGGTGTGTGTGTGTGTGTTGGGTCTCTTTAGACCCGTGTACTCTTTTTCTACCTTAATGAAATGACGTGCAGTTCTCCTGCGCTGTTCGAGAAAAAAAAAGGACGTTGGGCCTTGGAATACAAATCGGGTTCTCCCTAGCATGTATATCTTTCAGTTTGCTATAAACTTGTGATAGGTGGCATAGTGTAACCAACAACCAAATTTCTGCTTAAACAGCATGAGAAAATGTAGCAGTACTTGTGTTTTGACTTGGTTAGCCTGAGTTCACACTAGAAAAACTTGTGGTCAAATAGGTGCTTATGCTTGTTGTGTCTTCTTTAAATATTCTGAAACACCTTCACAAATGCTTAGTGTATACAACCATTTACAACAGAGCAGTGCACCTCGAAATGACAGGTTTTTCTGACCTATGGCTCCAAAACATATCCTGATAAAGGCGTAACAGAAACCTGCTCGGTATACCCCAATGAGGCCAAGATTATGCCCTTACCATGTGAAGTTCACATCTTTGTTCACAAGCATGTATGATTGGGTGAAATGATTCAATTGGCACATCGGAACTGGATTTACACATGCGGTCAGCTACATCAAGAGCTAACCCAATCTGCAAAAAATATTAAATTAGTTACAATATTGCTTTGGGAAGTATCCATGAATTCATGCACTCAGCACCAAAGCTAAAGCTTATTTCCAAAATTTAGCATACCCACATGTATCTATATGATATCGGTTTGAGGTGGGATAAATAAATTTAAGTTCTAATATACAATGTTCAGCGACAAATTGATGCAAAACTGGTGCCAACTGCAAGAAAATGTTTTTGAGAGTCAACAAAAGGAAAAATTAAACTTCAAGGATATTTGAAGTTGGTAGTTGATACTGAGAATGCACTTAAACTAAACGGATGTGACACAACACTACAACAGTATTGCAGTATGCCACCTTAGTGCTTTTCTCAGCTCACCCAATATCAAGAATCAGATCATTCAAGGCTCCAAGCAACCAAACAAAAATCATCCATATTCAAATAAGCAAGAAGAAACATTGCCTTCAGTGTGGTGGTGGCAGCTCTAACACCCAATTCAAATAAATTTACAAAATAAAACATAGGGCAGATGGACAAATGAAATAATAGGTGAAACATGTATTAACCATGCAACATATTTTTGAAACATAAAGTTGTTTCAGTAATACACAAGCCAGCAGAAGGCAAAAATGCAATGGTAATATAAGCATTTATGAATGTGACTAACATAGAAGCAACGCTTGTATGCCTGGGGACACATGGCAGGACTAGTTTAGCAACTGCCGCTATTTGATAAAGATTGATAAGGTTACAGTATATCATATCATTCATTCAACTCGGATGACAAGAAAGCTGTAAATGATTGCAGCATTACCTTTGATGAATTGCAACAGATAGAGACGATCTTGTCGTATGCAGCAATAGAGGGTGCAACCTCAAACTTCTCATGCCATTTATGAAATGCCACTAGCATGTCTTCAACCTTAAAGAAGAAACATTACTAAAAGGTGGTCTAGAAACAAAGTTTAGATAGAAGGTTTTTTCTTAACTTGAAATCCTCCTACATTTTCTTCAAACATGGATAGATTCTTCTTTGCATTGAGGAAAATAGGAAACAGGGGAAGCAAATATTTTTTGCAAGGAAGTCCTGATGTAATAACCATGAAAAGAAAACATTAATAACATAGTACTCCCTCCGTTTCTAAATAAATCAATTCCTAGAGTTGTCTTAAATCAAAGCTTTTTTTATGTTTGACCAAATGTATAGAAAAAAGGTATAAATACTGTGACACTAAATGAGCACATTATGAAAATATAGTTTATGGTGTATATAATGATACTAATTTGGTCTCATAAAAATGCGCTCTTTTCTATAAATTCGGTCAAAGTTAGAAAAGCTTGACTTAAGATAAAGGGCGTACCCAGTGCAGAGAGCACCCACACTGTGCGGGGTCTGGGGAAGGGTGTTAGTGGCAAGCCTTACCCTCGCCTGTGCAATGTGAGGAGACCGCGACTCGAACCCGGGACCTTCCGGTCACAGGCGGTAAGACTCTACCGCTTGCACCAGGCCCGCCCTTCAAAAGCTTGACTTAAGATAACTCTACAAATTGATTTATTCAGGGGCAGAGGGAGTATAACAAAAATTTTATTATGTGTATATCTTCACAAAGATCAAAAATAAGGATAACTTGAGAACCCAGAAAGCGTATGGTCAGTTGACAAGATAGTGATATAAGGTCTGGTAGCCACCCATGGACCATGATGACAAATGTCATCCTTCTAAATAAAAATGTTTTGACTAATCTTTTGAACAATTTCTACTACTCTCAGTATTTACCTCCGATGCAATAAACTCCCGCAGATAAGAGATTTAAATTTGGAAGTTCATGCTTCTTTTTGCGTATAACGAAAATGTAAAATCAAAACCATTTTTACTTTGTAAAGTTATTGCTAAATTATGATGATTTCGATGCAACGAATTGCATTTAAAGATCCTTTTATATTAGAAGCAATGAATATTACCAGTAGTCATCATAAAAGATTCCTCACCATTATGTTCGGAATATTTGCGGTATAGTCCAAAATCAAGGATGAAATGTTGTGATCAGCACATCCTGAAACAACAAATCCATAAATTAGCAGGTAGAAGATTCTGAAGAAGATCCTGAAAAGCAGCAGTATTTACTGGTAAAGAAATACCAGTTCAGTGAAAGATTTTCTGCTAATAAAATATTGCTGGTGTCCATCTTATTGACATACAAAGAAATATGAACTAAATATGGAGAACTTGCACACAATTTATTACCTTTTGACCTCATCCCCTGAAGAAGTTTCTCGGCATAGTTCTCTAGCTCTAGCCTCCCCAATGATTTGAATATATTATATATGTACTTTGAGGCTGAAACTTTAGATAGATCAAGCAAATCCAACAGGGCAACAAGATCTTCTTTTCTGCCGCTTTCAGCAAAGGCCAGCATGTAACTCTCTGCAAAACAGATGCATTCCAAATTATACAATGTGAAACAAAACTTCCAAATTACAATGAACGAGAAAGAGGAAAGAAGAATCTGGCGATGATTTTCAGTTGTTACCTGCTAGGTCATAGTGGGCTTCCTCATTGTAGTCTTCAACAGAGTGACAAAGTTCTTGAATTTTTTCTTCATCTTGAATTCTAATACAAAGCAACATCTCATAATAAGCTATTCTAGAGAAGGACTTTGGATTCGCTTCCTTAAAGAATGCACTGAACATCTCAAATTCTTCAAACATCCCCACATCGATAAGATACAAGAGGAATGGGCCATAAATATCTTTCTCAATCATGAGTCCCTTATCTTTCATGGTCTCAAAAAGGCGGTACGCCCTATAGATATACTCCACAGCAGAGTCAATATCCCTGCAAGCCTTTGCCTTCTCTAGACAAAGCTTAATCATCGAATTGAACTCCTTGACCCCTGTTTCCCGCCCCAGCTTTCCAAAAAACTCTATCGTCGACTCCGTGCCAAGCCTATTAGCACACATCCGCATCAGCTTTGTGTAGCGTCGGCTCTCGACATTCTTGAATATGTAATGTTTCTTCTTCTCCCTCGCCACATCCCTCCTCCAATGCATCAGCGAGTCCCTAGATGGTTGGGTCTGGAACCACTCAAAGTCCAATATCTTATTGCTCGTGGCAACCTCCCCATCATCTTCAGAGTCCTCCGCTAACGCTTCCTGGGAGGTCGCACATTCCGTCTCGTCAGGTGCTGAGCATCGAATGAATAATGTCAATTACAGACACAGTTATAGGTGAAATTGTTTCAGGATCATATTGAAGTACAATGGTACCATCTAGGACGGAGATGAGCGCCTTGGTGAGAGCCTCAGGGGGGTCATCCTCATCTGCGCAGAAGGGAGAAGGGTGAGAATGAAGCTAGAAGCTAGTGTGCATGAAAGAGAGGTAGGGAGAGGACGGAGGTGGTAGTTCCCCCACTGCTTATTACCTAGGGCGTGGGCGTGAGCTAGTGGGAGGGAGGACGGCAAGTTGGTCTTCTTCGAGGCCGCGGCCTGCTTGAGCCGCAGGAGGGAGGCCTGCGTGACGGCGGTCTCTGGGCCGGCGGCGGCGTGGCGCCTGTAAGCGGGACTCTTCAGGGTCGATAGCTTCGGCGCAGCGGCCGGGGTGCCGCGCTTGGATGCCGAGGGGGCGGCGGCGGCGGGGGTCGCGGGCTTGGGAGCGACGGCTGCGGCGGGGATAGCCTGCTTGGAGGAGACGGCCTGCTTGGCGGTCTCCAGGAGGCGCTTCCACATGGGTGGTGGGGCAGGGCGGCGGACGGAGAAACCCGCCGCCGCCGGTGAGTGATGCGGCGGGGGAGTCCGGCGGGACGCGGGCGCGACAGCGCGAGTGCGTGAGAGGGTTTAGCAGTTCGGTGTTGGGCTTGCGGGGTTGGACCGGACCGGACTGGACCCAAATGGATACCACAAGGCTACCTCCAACGGAGCCGACCCAAATTTCCGGTCACGTACAGAAAACAAGGAGCTATCAAATTCTTCCCTCTTCAACAGCGAAGGTTCGGTCCTCTCTTCCTCTCTCTCCCCTATGCGAACGCGGCTGTGCAGGTAAGGCTGGATAACGAAATGGCTCGACTCGGCTCGTTAAGATAGCGAGCTAGGTCGGCTCGGCTCGTTATCCTAATGAGCCAGAAAGCCAGCTCGGCTCGGCTCGTTAAAAGCTTGAGCTGGCTCGTTAAGCTCGTGAGCCACGTATAAAAATATATAAAATATAATATTTGCATTTATCTAAAGTTTGAGAATAATAATAATATAAAAGAAATACATCTAGACTAGTTACCAGTCAATTTATAGGGTCTAGACCAGTTACCAGTCAATTGTAAAGTGCAAGACATTAAGTAATACAAAAACTAATATAAGTTTTGATACTTTTTTTCCTAGAAGCTTGGCTCGTTTAGCTCGCGAACGGCTCGTGAGCTGGCTCGAGTTGGCTCGTTATAGCTAACGAGCTAAAATCTTGGCTCGGCTCGGCTCGTTATCGTAACGAGCCGAGCCGAGCCGAGTCGAGCCAGCCACGAGCCGAGCGAGCTAACGAGCTTTGAGTTTTTCGTCCAGCCTTACGTGCAGGGCATGGCGACGGCGACGACGTGGGGTGACGGCGAGCGCTGGCGCAGCGCTCGGAGCAAGCGGCGCCTGCCGCCGACGCGACCTGCCTTCTTCCCTCCCTCTCCCGGCCCCCCTCCCTCCCTCCCCTTCTTCTTCCCCGACCCTCCCTCCCCTGGATCCGGCCGGTGGCGCCCGTGCCGGCGAAGCTTGCGCCCACGCCTCGGCGGAGCTCGCGCCCGCGCCCATGAGCTTCGTGCCGCTGCTCGGCGAGCTCAGCGCCCACGCCCGATGGAGCTTCGCCCGCCATGCCCGTGAGCTTCGCGCCGTGCCCGTGAGCTTCGCCCGTGCTCAGAGCCGAGCTTCATGCAGCATGCCGTGAGCTTCAAGGCCGAGCTCTTAAGTCGTCTTCTTGTCGCAGAGATTTGCGTCGTCCAGCTGCCGAAGACGCTTATTTGCCTTTCCCTTCGGCTGGTACGCAAAATCGGTCGGCTGTTTGGGTCTTCTGTTGGACAGCATTTTTGACGACGCAAACCACTGTTGAAGACGCATTTTGCGTTTGCGTTTCGTTATTGGAGACAGTCTAAGAGCCCACCTTAACCTAAAAATTACTCGGCCTTCGGAGAATGTTAAAGAAACATGGCTTGTATACGATGGATTTTTAAATAAATTCTATACAATTTCAATAGAAATTTATTACAGGATCACTTCAGATTTCAAATTATATAGTACTTTCTATTTATATGTAAGAGTGCTTTCCATTTATGTATGTTCCCAATTACAAATCAATATAGTTAGCCAATTTGCAAATATTGCAAGAGATAGTATAATACATAAAAGGAGTTTGACTTGCAACATTTATTTACTCTTACAAGATAGTTGGTGTCGAGTTCATAGACCCGGGGTCCCTCATGGACCGGCTTCACCAGCAAAGGCTCGGCCTAGCAGACGACGTTGCGAACGACGCACGACTTCTGGGCCGGCCCAAATACCTAAACAACAGGCCAGAAGGGCGATCCAATCTCCGACCGGAAGGCCTCGCTAAGGAGGAACAACGCTCGCTTCCGACTTCGTCCCACCTCTTTGACCAGAAGGCCTGGCCAAGGAGAAACATCGCTCACTTCCGACTTCGGCCTGCCTCTCCGATCGGAAGGCCTGGCCAAACACCGCTTCCGAATTCCGACCCGCGTCTCCGACCGGGGACGCACCGAACCCCTGCTTACAGCTCTTCTCCGACTGGCGCAGTCAGAGCCAACTGGGACCAACCGACCAGGGATGCCTACTCAGTGAGGACCAGGAAACAAACAGAGCAAGTAAGGCAGGACACTCAAGTCAACCGCAATACCGAGGATCGTACCCTGTACACCTACATGACAGTACCGACATGACATGTCAGAAGAGTGCCCTGCAACTTTCCAGGCATGTCAGAACCCAAGCAGTGTTATAGGCGCCGACATTTGCCCTATAGTGTTGTGGGCGCCCGCAACTCCCATACTAGACGAGCATGGTAAAACCCCTTGCATGCCTCTGGGCATCAACAGTATGGCAGGCACCGACGTCTGCATACCAGAAGAAGACGACGTAACCTCCCACATGCATCTGACATTAACAGTGTTATGGACGCCTACAATCATCTTGTACCCGACGGTGTGGGCAACGAGACTTAGCATATGTGCACACACTCTCTCTCACTTATAAGGTCATCCCCTTCATCTATAAAAGGGGGTGCGCTCTCTCCCAAAGAAAGAAGATCAGTACACAATAACTCGAACAACACACACGATCCGAACGACCAAGGATCCCAACGAACAACAAACGTTCGAACACCTAGCACATAGCGGAGCTCCCGTCACTCTCGGCCCTTCAGACCAGAGTCTGACCGGACCTCTTGTACCCCCCATCTTTCTCCCTTCCGTTTATAACCCTACAGCAAACTTCAAGCACCTGGGCTCAGGAATAAAGTCACCGACCGACTCAAACTGGACGTAGGGCACGTTGCCTGAACCAGTATAAACCCTGTGTCATTTAGTGCTAGGCTACATTCGATAACAACGTACGACAAAACTACAAATATTTACGTGTTGGTCACTTTCTGCACCGACAGTTGGCGCCGTCCATGGGGAAGACGTTGTATGTTCACACTTTTGGTCATCGGATGACCCACTTTTCTGCCACCTTCGCCATGGCAGGCTCAAGCGATACGACTCGCTTCGGCTCGTTGGAGTTTTCCACAATCCCACCTATTGGGACGTGGGTTCCACCTGTCTTCGAGCCGTCCCAGGCCTTCCTCTTCGGAAGCTTGGACTTCGTCGCTGACCGGCTCGGCATACTACACCTCCATGAGGAGACACTTGTTCCGACACCCATCGGAGGGACGCCCTCCATCGGCTTCGGGACACACGATGACTTCAACAATGAGGCACCTACGCTTCATTTCGAGCAAATGCTCTGCTCAAACCCCACTGTGAGTAATGTACATACTGTTATTTACTCGCTATTTACTATCTTCTATCGATTATCCGGAGGGACTGCATTGTCCCTACCACAACCGCCATTCGACCGATCCCCCTATGGCCTCGCGTCCCCCGCGGACGTGTACACCCGGGGGCTCCGAAAGATGCTGACGCCGCCAACTCTCACATCTAAATTCATGGGGATGGCGAGCTACGCTCCCACCTGTTTCTACGAACTCGTAGATGACGAGAGCACGACGAAGAGCTACGACAACGACGGTAGAACCAGCCACCACCTTACGCTGGCGCACTCAGCGCAGCACGTTGCGCCATGCGCGCGTAATCCAGCGAGCGGCACCCGGGGTCGTGCCCGCCAGGTCTAGCTCAACATTATGGATGGAGGGAACGATCCCCCACAGTTCGCTCGGGCTGGCCAGAACATCGTCGTTGTGGCAATGCTTTTGTGCGGCGTCCGCGAGCCTGTCGACCCCTAGGAGCGGGCGGTCTACCGGAACCTCCAAACGCTTGTGGAGATGGCCGCTGTTGAACAGGTGGAGAGCTCCACATCACAACACTGACTCGCGGCCTCACTCCCCACCAAGGGAGTGGGGACGCACTAGACGAATCGCTCCATCCGCTCACCACTATAGCCACCAAGTGTGGCATAGGAGGCCACAGCCGCACCGCGGCCTGACCTAGCGCCGCTCCACACCGGCCCCCTATGTGCGAATGGCTCAGACCAAACCAAGACGCTCGTAGCGTCATTAGCAACCGGCGTCGGGCCTGGCATGATGATGACGTCCATTGGGTGGCAGTAAGGGCGAGCGACATGGACTTCGGCCGGACCATCGACGGGAGCGGCGAAACGCACCCTAGGCATGGTTGCCGACCGGACAACCGGAGTCCCAGCCTGGATGGCCCGGGACCATGGGCCTTTGGGCGACACATCTAGAGAGCGCCATTCCCACAACGTTTCCGACCGTCCACCAACATTGCCAAGTACACCGGGGAGACGAACCTCGGTATATGGCTCGAAGATTTCTGGCTCGCCTACTGAGCCGGATGAGTGGATGATGACCACTTCATCATTCAGTACCTCCCCATTTACATGGGGGAACATGTTCGAGCGTGGCTCGAATTCCTCCCACACAACAGCATCCGTGACTGGGCGGACCTCAAGAGGGTCTTCGTCAGGAACTTCTAGGGGACGTATGTCCGCCCTAGGAACTCCTAGGACCTCAAGAGCTGCCAGTAGGAGCCCAGCGAGCCCCTGCGGGATTACATCTGTAGGTTCTTCAAAAGATGCAACTCCCTCCCTGATGTTGTCGACACGGACGTCATCAGTGCATTCCTCTTTGGGACAACCTGTGAGTCCCTGATCCACAAGCTTGGTAGTCTAAAGCCCTATACCACCCGCGACCTGCTCGACGTCACCACGAACCATGCCTCCGGCGAGGAGGCGGTCGGAGCGGTCTTCAACGGAGGCCAGGACAAAGGCAAGGTCAAGCGCGAGGATCAAGACGAGGGCCCCTCCATGCAAAGGGGCAAAAAGAATAAGAAGGATCAGCGCCGACCGGCCAACTCCGCGTTGGTTGTCGCGACTGATCGCTTGGGCAAGCAGCCCCAGCAGGGCCTGCCTGACCACTTCAACGAGCTCATGGAGAGCCCGTGCACCAACCACACCTACCCCGTCAAGCACCTCTACAAGGACTGCGAACTCCTCAAGCACTTTCTACGACAGGC